AACCCTCTCACCCGGCACGGCACAGAGCAGGGAGCGAGGGAGCCAGAGGAGAGGATCCTGGCGGACCTCACATGGAGGATGGAGCGCGACCGTCGCCAAAGGGGGCTTCTCCGCGGCGAGGGAGCGCTGGAGGGGACTGTGGGCCCTGTCCCCCAGGCCAAGAACTGGACAACCGCAGTTTCCCGAGCCGGGACAGGGAAACCGCACGGACAACAGCAAGGGGTAGAACCCGGAGCGACTCCAATCTGGCCCCGTCTTCTGCTTGCTCCGATTGCTTGATAAGGGACCCGGTGGAGAAAGTTTGTAATTGATTGGAGTGGGATGTATTACAGGTGTGTTCTTTGACAAGAAGTTTATTCGATAGACTACAAAGGTCCCTCGTGAAACGAGGAGTGTGGAGCTCGAGGAACACTCTCCCCCAGTAGAGCACACACTGGGGCCAACTTCAGAGGGAGGATGGGGGGGGGGAATGGGACTTCTTGATGGCGAAGGGACTATGAGCCGTGTTAAGAGCTGTTCCTCTGAGCTCCTGCGGGAGGACTGGACGACCGCAGTTTCAGAGCCGGGACGGGGAAAAGAGACACAGAGAACAGCAAGGGAGCTAGGGCTGGGAGGGGCTCTTTAATCCATGCAAGTCCAGTCCCCCGAAAACCACTTGCATAGATAGAGAAAGGAAAAACACCCCTTGAAGAACTTTTCAAAAGGTGGTAGAGATTGTGTGGTTTGCTAGAGTGCGTACTCATTGTGAGATGTCTACTGTGAACTGAACTTTATTTTGATTCAGAAAAATACAAAGGGGACCATGTAATTTCAAACACATTATCAGAAATATTCCTAAAAACCTAAAGCTAAACATAAACAAGAACTACTGACTGATTGATTTTATTTGCTAACTCGATTGAACCCCACTTACTGATCTCCTCAGGACACACCTGACCCCAGAGGCCTCAGTCTGAACCCCACTTACTGATCTCCTCAGGTGTGTGTGTGTGACAACAGGAGAGACAGGAGTCCTCAGGTGTCTGTGTGTGACAACAGGAGAGACAGGAGT